CATACTGTAAATCTTAGTGTAATTAGTATTGTCATTTTATCGTTTTTACACTGTAATTCTTTGTTTGATTTACACTGTAATTCTTTGTTATTTACACTGTAATTATTGTACTTACAGTGTAATTCTAGTGTAAATTAAACTGTAAATCTACTGCAATTACTGTGAAACTCACTGCCATTTGCTCTATAATACTATTGTATTTTACTTCTATTATACAATTCACTGTATTTACATTGTAGTTCCAGTGGTCTAGCACTGGAATTACAGTTTGCGTACACTATAATTCCAGTGGTCTAGCAATGTAATTCAAACTGTAATTACAAAGGATTTTTCACCCTGGTCCACTACTGTAATTTCTATTTCTTACCATTGAAATTTTAGTGGTCTAGCACTGCAATTACAATTTGCCTGCCACTGTAAATTCCTTGTCCGCCTGTGTAATTTAATTTGACAGGTTCTTTTTCTGTTCCTCTCTAGCTACAGTGTAAAACACTTGGTTGCCATCTCTGGACGTACATTTTAGTTTCAGTGTGTACTCATTTGAAATTACAAGTAAAAGGTCATCGCATTATGAACTTCAAGTACAAATAAGAGGTATTTGTATGCAATTCCAAAGTTTATAAAATTTAGTCATAGATTCAGTGCTTTTCTTCAGGAGTAAATTTGTAAACATCATCATAGTTTCTGATTAGTGTACAATTTTTGCCAGCGCCAAAGTGTCTGAAAATACAGTAATGGCTTTCTGAAAACACAACATTCCTAGCCTTTTCTGTTCAAGCATTTTGTTCCTAAATGATTTCATATCTTCCTAAACATGCTCCCCCAAATCTGTTTTTCTTTTGACCATGTGTTGTAACTGTAGTTATGAATTTAGAAACTTGCAAGTAGTTTATATGTTCCTGTCTCCCTAGACTACTTTGGTCCTAGTATTCTTCCTGGTTCTAGTATTCGTCCTGGTTCTACAGTTCCAGAGCTCAACTTTTGGTCCCTTCAACAAGTGAGGATTTGAACTGTGTTATATTTTCTTATAGTTTTAATAAGTTTTTTTTCATGATTATCCTGCCTATGATCTTAGATTTGGTTTGTGAATCTGCTGTGTTTATTCAGCTATGTAATGATCCACACACGGTTGTTTCTTTCAGATGTATACAGTCATGAGAGAGATCTGTTTTACTCATGCTAGGTGTGTGGTGAAGCAAGAGAAAGGGGTGTTTACCTGTAAATTCTTTGCTTCTTCAGCCATGATCTTCTTCAAGCTTGTGTCCCAGATCATGGAAGAAACACCATCACTTTGTTGCTTTTCTGTCCGGGTTGAAAATGGAGGGGAATGGACCCGTTAACTTTCTGTTTGACCTGTGCCGTTTGTTTAAACGTGAGACAAAAAAAAGGACATACTCCCTCTATCACGGTTTAGAAGGCGCGCTTGAAAATTCTCTGGGACCTAGGTGGTTATCTATTGGTTGTGGGATGGGCTAAAAAATAACATTCACACTACGCATGCATATAAAAATAGTATATCGGAGTACTAATTAGCTACTAGAAATAAATGCAATGCGCCCTAAACCTTGTCTATTGTGGAAACACACGCAAATTTAACTGTGCCTTCTAAACCGTGACGGAGGGAGTACAAGAGATAAGGGACAGGACAGTTGTCACATTTTAGTTGGCTGAAAAATCCAACTGAAACCCAATTGATTTTCAGCCGGATGTTAATTAGACAATCCCTAATTTAATGCATGTCTCTACACTACTACCTCGGTCCTGGTTTATTTGTTTCCTTAGTATTTCGTGTCAAATTTTGATCATGGATTTAATTCAAAATATTAATGCATGTCACAAAAAATATTATCACTGAAAAGTACGTTCAAATACAAATCCAATGATATAATTCTTAATGACATGCATTATTTTTTGTCAGTTAAATCTATAGTCAAATTTTGACACAAAATACGAAGAGGACCAATTAACCAGGACCGAGGTAGTACTCCATATGAGCACAACAAATGCTACACCCGACCTCACATCATCCCATAATTAGGTGAATTTATTAAAATCATAATCCCCGCTTCCTCCTTGCTAAATTGCACCCCAAATGTCAATTCTTCGCCAAAACAAAAGGGCAAGTTTATATATCTATTTATGTCGCTATGTACTGTGCATGGATGGCATATGCTCTTGTGCCGTGATGTGGTTCTCTTGCTATTAATCCTATGTAAATACATGGAGTGTATAGCTAGAGACAGATAGGGATGTTTATTTTATTCAGAGTGAGAAAAGGACGGACATGAATATTGCACTGTCTCTTCTATTATTTATACCTAGCTAGCGCCGAAGCATGTGGACGTGCGTCTTGTCTGTGCCACCATTCCCAAACAAAAATAAAAACATATTGCCTCTATTCCCAAATGTAAGTTTTAGAGATTGCAACAAAAGACTACATACGGAACAAAATGAATGAATCTATAATCTATAATATGTCTTTATACAATCTAAAATATGTTTATGAATGAAGGAAGTACTTTTGTGACTATGAGAAAAGACAAGTATTATTCGTAAGAATTGCAACTTTGACTAAATATAAGGAGCAACTCAAAAAAAAAGACTAACTATAAGGAGTAGCACAGTTTTGAAATCAAGTTCTGAATAATTCACTGCAAATGCCTTGATGAACTACATAATCACTACATTTTTGCATGATTCTAGATCTTGCACTTCGAAAATTGTAAATCAAATAGCGGTCATAGATATCACCGAACCAAAGATTGTCCATGCTCGCATGGAATGAAAGCGATAATGGGTATAGCTGTAGTTCTATTTCCTCTACTACACGGCCGGCCGCCTGTCAGGTTGCACCCTGCCAGCCTATAAATACATACGCCTACCTTCTCCTTCAACACACACTTAATTAGGTCCCTCAGTTTAGTTTTCATCTCTAACCTATCTTCTCGTTCAACACACTTACTCAGTTAGCTCTCATCTCAAGTATAGGACGTTAATTAGGCTACCCATTTTTATTTTTGCAACTGCACAATAATTAACCATGGGCATGCACGCGTCTTCCAAGTCCAACCGCGAGGTGGTGGAGTCCCTGTACGCCTCACTGGCCCGTGGCGACGCCGCAACCGTGACGGTATTGCTGGCGGCGGACCTGAACTGGTGGTTTCACGGGCCGTGTCGGTGCCAGCATATGCGACGCATGCTAACCGGTGAGGCGGTGGGTGCCATGGCGTTTCGGTTCGGGCCAACGCGGGTGGTGGAGGTTGGCTGCACCACAGAAGGCGAAGACGGGTGGGTGGTGACGGAGGGTTGGGCCGGGGTTGGGGAGCGGGACTACTGGGTTCACGCGTGGTGCCTCCATGCAGGCGTCATCACAAGTTTCCGTGAGTACTTCAACACATCCGTCACCGTCAGGGAGGTAGGCCGGCCCGCCAAGGAGGATGTGGTATGGGCTGTGTGGGAAAGCCAATCGCCCAAGCCCAAGGGCCGCTCCATGCCGGGCCTAGTGCTTGCGATTTGACCTCGCAGAGTCCATATAGTTTTGTTAAGGTCAAAAATAGGTATACGATGTACAAATGTTGTAAAATGTCCGGTATGTTTTTGGTTTCCCATGAATTATGGCAACGGCAATGGGAAACCGGTTTTGGCTGAGGAAGATATGATGTACAAATGATCTAAAATTTGGCTTTATTTCTTATGAATTAATCTTCTTACTTGCAATCTCGTTCTTGTCGAGTGAAAGTCTCAAGTAACTGCACTAATTTTGAGTACTTTTTCTTCAGTTTTTTGCGCGTTGTAGTTGGGCCTATTCGGATGTGAACGTTGCGCGCTCCTACAACGATCGATAGATAAATCTTGAAATTCATGATTGTTTTATAAATTTTTGAACATTTCTGAAATTCAGGGAACTTGTTTTGTTTTTCTTACTTCACCAAACAGATTGAGGCCCAGTAGGGCCACTCGCCAGCTAACCGAAGCAAGCGTGCTGGGGCATGAGCATTTATTCGTCGTTCGACATGTTGCGGGCTGAATAGGACCTGTCGCGCGTGTGGGTTATTTCACTGTTGGGGGAGAGGCGAACTGGTTTTCTGCATTATTCGTCCGTGGGGGGTGCTAACCAACTTGCTCGCCTGCGCTGAGCGGTCGGGTCGCCGCTTTCTCCGTCTTCCCCACCGGGCACCGCAATATGCCGACGGCTTTACTACACCTACGGCCTTCCATGGGCCGTCGGCATAGAAAAGGCCGTCGGCAGCGGCAATTATTCTGATAGTGGTTGAAAACCGACGTCGTGCTAGTGCGGGGGAAAAGCTAGAACGGAAAGACAAGTCACTGAAGATTCAAGCCAACATGAGCACCTATTGGAAAGCCGTTGTAGCTAGATTCTGTGGTAGTAGATCCAAGCTCAATGTCGGGAGGCGCCTGTGTTGAGAGATTGGAGTTCTTTTGGGGATGAAAATTAGTGCAACGGGAGTGATCTTGAGAGGCAGTTGCACGAGTGAATTGGGTTGTGGTGGGGCGTGCATCATAGATGTGCCCAGGGCGGCAGGGCCATGCCTGCATGTATCAGCAAAGTAGGGAAGTTAGAGCAAAAGGAGATCCATTTCAATGTATATGATCCAATGATCAATTCGGTTTATGTAGGAGGAAAACGGCGATACACACGAACACAACACAACTAGGGATGGAAACACTAAACTCAACATCATAAATTGAATAAATCAGGAATATCGTTCAACTCAGTTCAGTTCTTTCTCGATTTTCAGTGCAAAAGTGTTCACCTTAGAAGAAACGTATAGTCTATCTAATATAAAAGCAGGTACCTTTCTATCCAAATCCAATTTGCATCGATAACATAAATAAAATTTCCAGATGTCTAGTAGTATATGAAGAATTGTAAGTTTACGTCTGTACAAGATTAGAATAACTTCAAAATAACTGACATAATTTTTTAATTTTTCTAATCCGGAAAAACTATAATAGCTTGGAAAGAAACATTTAACTCACAACAAGGAACGACATGGCAAAATGCATGCACGTCACCTTTAGTTATTATGTATGCCCACAAGTGATAGATGTCCAGTTGTTTGTCCACCTCAGCTACGTCGTCCCGACAAGTTAGTTTAGCTTCCATGTTTGCTACAAAATCGTAAAATGGGTGACATGCGGTAGGATTTTCATGAAAGTTGTCACGATCGTGGGATTGAGCCAACCAAATTTGGCGCCCCGGACTGAGATCATAATAGTAGTTGGCTAACCTATGTGCTTCGCCATTAACAACGCACCTTCAAAAATAAAATTACAATTAAACATTGTTGCACATAGCTTAATCTATGTAATGATAGAACCATAACGGCCCTGGTTGCCATCGTTGGCGTCGCCCACCACCTGCTTGGAGTCTGACAAGATGACAGAGTTTTGAAGAAGAAGGTCTTCAACCATAGACAGGGCTTCCCTGCACGTGATCGCCTCCAAAGTTGGAGGATCGAGGATGCCATCTACTACTAGAGACGAGCTTCCAAGATAGTTATCTTATCATCGTAACGACAACTGCAGCAGCAGATCCACCTCTAGTTGTTCATGAGACGCCCCATCCACGTCAACTTTTGCATACCCTAGTGGAGGTGCCGGGGGCCTTGTGTGGGTCTGTCTCTGCCCACTGTTCGACGGTCCAACCAGGGGCAGACCCATGTGTGGGCCGAATGGGGGCCTAGGCCCCCACTCAATTTCCGTTTTTCAGCTTTGAAGCTTAGTTTCCACTAGTTGGGCCCCCAATTGACAAAGCAAGTGTGCCCCCACTCTCACTTGGGCCCCCATTGAAATTTTGGGTTGGGTCCGCCCCTGGGTCCAAGATGTGTGTTCACTTGTGTCTTCTCCTTGAATACTTCAAGCTCTGCAATAAACCTGCCGATAAATGCATGTGTTACATGTGGACTTTGTAATATTCCATCATGACTCGCCTTGCTCCGCGCTGACCAAATAGCCCACTGTGTGTTACAACTAGCCTTACAAAACCTACATAATGCATCACTCGATGTGAACAACAAGTGACTTGCATTTGGCTCTGTTGTAGCGAACATCTGGTCAGCCAAGTCACCATTGTCTAGCACCCAGATACACCTAGACATCAATTAACGAGTGCCCCCATGAGTCTTGTGAGTCGTAGAGTCCACAAGAAGCCATGTTTCCATGTGATCTAACATCTTCCGTGGGTAATGAGTGTTTCGAGAGTCGCCACAAGAACATACGTATCTTTGCTACTACCTAGGTGTTCCATAGTAATTTCCATGAGCTAGCATCATTGTCCGAGCTCGAGACCTGCCGTGCCATCCAGTCATGCCTCCCTACGATGTCAAGTAGCCACCAAACATCCTATAGGTTTTTTTTGAACTTCCCAACATCCTATAGGTTGAACGTACACAGAATGTACCCTTTTCTCTCTCGAAATTCCACGTCCAATAATCAAATATGTAGTGCCCATGCGTGGCTAGTGATGGAGCGTACTGTCGCTTGTAGGCCCTGCGATTGGTAGGCCTCACATTCCTAAGTCAGCTGCCTACCGGGCTACCTACCGCCCGCAAATTCTATGTACCGCTCATAGCGAGCGATACGATAGCACTCACCCACCCGAGGTCCGACGTGGGTTGAGGCCTAGTTAAGTAGCGAGACCTTTTTCTTTCCACATTTCGTTTTTCATTTCTTTTTTACTTTCTCATTTTTTGTTTCTTTAGTTTCCCAATTTTGTTTTTTTCGTAAATTCAAAAATTTACAAAATCTTCAAAAAGTTTGAAATTTCGATTTTTTTATTTTTCAAATGTTTGCAATTATTAAAAATGTTCACATATTAAAAAAATCTTGTTTTCTGAATGATCAAAATTTCATAAAATATCACAATTTCAAATGATGTTCACAAATTGCAGGAAAAATTTAAAATTCATGAATAATAATTGAATTCGTGAACATTTTTCCAAATCTATAGAAATTATTTGAATTTTCCAATATATCATATATCTGCGATTAAGTTTTAAATTTATCAATATTTTTTAAATTTGATAACATGTTTTAAATTTCACAAACAAATTTTGAATTCATGAATATGTTTTAAATTAATGAGCATGTTTAATTCACATTTAAAAAACCATGATTTTTTGAATTACAAACCAAGCTAGGAGAAAACCAGGTTTTCTTTTGAATTGGAAACCGAGCTAGGAAAAAGCATAGGTCTAAAAATAAAGACCTCATGCTCCTATGCCAGCTCATTAGCGAGAGGCTATGAGCGGTGGTTTACCGAGCGCTGCGGGGGAGACGCTCGTATCTCAACTACTTAAAAACAAGTAGTGTTTTTTTCTTGCCAAGTAGAACTATTCGTCAATCCGTTTCCCCATTTCACCATATTGCTCCATCGATTTTTTTCATCTAGCCGTTTTTTCCTCACCATGTCATATTTTAACCGCACCTTTCAAGTACGTCGCTTAATCATTATTAATTTCCTTACCTTTTATGATACTATATAAACTTCACCTTAATTAACTTACCTTTTCCAATAACGCGGAGTACGCAATTTGATTCCACACCACAGCTTCCGTATGCCGCACAGGCAAACCAGGCCCCCCCCCCTCCCCCGCCCCGGCCCAGGGGAGAATTTGGGCTGGTTCACTATCTCTACTACTTAAAAAAACGTAAAGTTCTCATTTCACCTTTCTTCCCATCATCCCTTCGTTCAACCTTTCATGTATATAATAATTAATCACCTTAATTTACTTATCTTCTGAACTGATTCCATTTTAATTTACTTATCAAACTTATAATCAAAATATAAGGTAATTCACGGACATAATTTGATGAACATTTATTTACACAGTCGCATTATTATTGACAGGTAAATCACAAGCTAACGTAGTAGAATATTTATATCCCGTTGCAACGCACGAGCATTGTTCTAGTACCACAACAAAGGCAAGCAACCTTTGTATCTTTTATCGGTTTTCCGGTTTCTTTCGTTTGTTTTCATTTTCTCGGTTTACTTCTCTCCTTTCCGTTTCCGTGTAAATGTTCGTGATTAAAAAAAAATCTTGGAAAAATGTTTGGATTTTACAATTTTTCTTCATCAACTCAAAAAAGTCGTGAGTTTATTTTTTTAGCGATTTGCTGAAATGCTTGTGTTTTAATTTTTTCTTTAAAATTTCAAACAAAGTTCACTTTTTAAATTTTGTTCCTCAATTCAAAAAAATTTGGGAATTTTTGAAAATGTTTCCACTGACCAAATAATGTTCAGAAGTTAAAAAAGTGCTCCCAATGTCAATTATTTTCTGAAAATAAAAAAATATCCGGGACTTCAAAAAAGGTTCCCGCTTTCCAATATTGCTCACATATTCAAAACAAATGTATGCTTTACTCCAAATTTTGTTCGGAGTTCCAAGAAATGTTCCCATTTCAAAAAATGTTCCAATTTTCTTAAATGGTTCATGCTTTCAAAAAATGTTCTCTTTGTTATAAAAAAAGGTTGTGCAAAAAATATTACTT